TGTTAGCCATGGGTTAAATAGTGTTGCAGTTTCTCACTTTGGCCACTGGAGGGCGATGAACACTCGTATCTAAACACAACACATATATAAAGACAAACAACACAAAACTAAAATAAATACATTTTTTACATCTGCATCATCACGTAACTGAACAAATGTCACAGATAAATGTATCAGTGGATGCAAGCATTTATTCAAGGCAATGGCAGTGGCAAGGATTGTTCAAACTAAAACGGTTTTCAAATTGTTGGCCATCCAAAAACGTATGAAATACAGTGGCTGTTTATTATCAGTTGATATGTTCCACTTATTACACTAACATACGATTTAAAACAGGACAGTTTGCTGCATATGCAAACCAGGTGACTTCTAATGCATATTTTCTCAGATTTGTTTGGGTATTTATGTTTGCACTATTTCGTAATAAAGTGCTTTAATTTAATGTTTTCTCCGACAAATCACACAAAGAATAAAACTTGAAAAAAAAAATTCAGTTTATCTACAAAACTTAAAGGTGCATTTCTTGACATGTGCGTCATTTCTTAAATAAGACCACGAAGACAGATTTGATTTTGTTATTCTAATTTTGACAACAAATTGTCGACTATTGCTGGTTAGATGGACACATTTGACCGTTCATTAAGCCCCGCCCCTTAGCTTCTGTACTGTTGCTATGTCGGTTAGGCTAACGTTGTCAGATTAACCTTTGAAATCTTAAGTATTTTTCTAAATAATGGGTCCTTGATTTAAGACACAGGAGAACAAAAGTTCTCATTTAAAGCCGGTTGACCGTCACTTTTTTTGCAGATTTAGCTCGCTAGCTAGCTCATTGAGCTAACGTTAGCCCTATTCCATGAATTGGTTGAAAACATATTGACGTTTATCGTTGTCTGTTGACTTGTTTTCAAAATAAGAGTCTCACAAAAGGGTTCTTAAATACACACTTAATGGATACATACATGATCATGTGCCAAAAGAATGAGGCTAAAGCTAAATTACCATCCTCACTAGTTGATGGTCCACGTGGAAGACAGAAATAAAGAAATGTTTTGCATTGTAGAGCTAGCAAGCTAAATATGAATGATGAGGAAAAATGTGAACTCAGACTATTGTTGTTTTACAATGTAGCATTACAATGTCTGGCTGTTTAACTTACTGGCTTGTTATTATTTTTCAAACAGGATGAGGACTAACCGATGTATTATGTAAATGTTATCTCAGGTAACATACGATGCGTTTGTTTGAATGTCCTTAAAGCCAATAAAGAGCAAAGCAGAGCTGCTAACGTTAGCGTGATAGCATGACCAAGATTAGCTTCCCCACAGCAAAGAAGGCTAGCTAGTTAACCCCACAAACTAGCTAGCATTAGCGATATGCTACTTGGCCTCCTCAGTTAGCTACTGTAGCTAGTAAGCTACTTAGCCAGACATGCTAACATGTAGCTTACATTGGAACTGACAGTTTAATCTATTCTTTACACTTAAATTCTTTAAGTTCTTTAAGTTTTTTCCCAGTTCGTAATACTGCAAATACAAAGGCTTTCATCAGCGTACCATAGGCTCGACCACCATTGTGTGTCTTCGAGATTATTACTTTGATATTTCATATTTACAAAATTACCTTTGAGGCCGTTCTGACAAAAACAACACAGACATTTGGTGTATGTAAGCAGTGCATGTAATAGCATTATTCATATGCTTAAGGAACATTAATATGTGACACATAGAAGAAAATATTACTTTGGAAAAATAAATAAATAAAAACTTTTTCACTCTCATAGCCCCACAATAAACATTTACGATGGCTTCTCGAATTTAAAACAGAGAAATAAATGTTTGTGCTCAGGAGTTTAATCTAAACATTTGACCAGCTACTCTGGCATCATCAGGCAGTATTAGATAAGGTACATGTTACATTCATTCTACTACAAATCTAATGGATACTACAGTCATTTTTAAAGTCAGAATGTTCACTGTGTGGTTGTTAAAGCTAAAGCTGGGAGTTAAGATATTCAGTGAAGAAACACACACTGCAGTCCAGTTTGTTAAGTAGAAGACGTAATAAAACAAGTCTTTTCCTTGACGCGTTCGCAACATTCAGAGGAGTAAAGAAACCGAGTCTCACAGAAAGCAAGGACTTCGTCTGTGCTTTCAAAAGTCGTGTCTGTGATACATGTCCGGGTCGTAGTATTTGGTGACCACCACTCTGTTGGCAAACTTGCGGCCAGTGAGAGCTTGCATGGCTTTGTGACAGTCGGCAGCAGAAACGTACTCCACAAAGATCTGGAGAGAAAAAACAGGTCCTGAACGGTATGGAGATGAGGATCTGAGATCTGTGACTCATTCAGGAGCTTCTTTATATGTGTGAGAAGTTCATTAAACATTGTGTTGTGGCCAAAAAAAAAAACAAAGGAAAAAAAACATCATTCTCAGTCCTGAATGTTTCCCATAGAAAATCTTGGAAATGCAGTTCTGATGAGAGAAGCTAATGTGGAAAAGCTAATGTAAACTCGTACCTTTCCACAACCGGGGACTTCCACTCCGTCGACGGGTCGGGGGATCTCGATGGAGCGGACGCTGCCGTACTTGCAGCACTCCTCGCGGATGTCTTCCAGGATCTCCTCATAGTCCTCGTCGTCCACCAGCTCCTCGGACATCACCATGTTGAGGAGGCACAGCACCTCCGTGGGGATGCCAGAGTTCTGCAGCCTCTGAAGCCCGGGGACCTGCAGCGTCACTGGGGTCTCTATGATCTGGGGGTTGGAGGAAGAGTCATACTCATCAGCTCGGACTCCGTTTCTGCAAATAAGATCCTGACTTTCATTTTCATTACAAATATATTTCCCATGAAGCCTGCTGCTTCCTGCCCCCCTCCGGGGTTTGTGGAGGAACCCAAGGAAATCTCAGGATGTAATTTACCAGTAGGCTGGCTCACTGTCACACCTGCTGCTTCTCTAATTTAATTGAAAAAGGTAAAAGGACTCACAGGATTAACGTTCTTAGCCCCCACGCTCGCCCTTTGGACGATCAGCTTTTTGTCGCCCAGCTGCATCCCGTTGAGTCCGGTGACTGCCTGATGGAGAAAAACACAAAGCCCTCAAAGTGAACATCTCAAACAGCGCGGCCATTAATCTCAGCAGCTCGTCGCACTGTTACCTGATCGGTGGCGCTGACGTCGACGTATTCGCAAAAGGCGTAACCCTTCGACAGTGACGTGGCACTGTCCTTCACAAGATTGAACGCTTTGAGAGGCCCGAACGAAGTCAAGAGCTCCTTCACCTGCGAAGAAGAGTCAAGGAGAGAAGATATGAGGCGGAAAATCCACAGCGGACATGCAGAAAAACCTACAGAGTGAAACAATAAATCACAAAGTCTATCCGATGAAATGATTACTGGACACAAAATGTGTGCAGTTAAATAGAATTGGCTTTGGTCGTTTGAACATTTAGTATATTTACAGATTTGTGCATTGCTATAAATAGAAGGAAGAAGAGATGATGCTCATGTCTTTAGTGAAGAGCTGATGACGTGGATCTGAGCAAAATAACAGACATAATTATTAATATATAGTATATATAATCTCACGTTCAAAGTTGGAATTTTTTTCTTCTTTTTTTACAACAAGCTGAGCGATAAAATAATTTGATTTTAACTTGTATTGTATTTTGCCAGCTATACAGGCAAATTACAGTTAATAACAGTTGCACAATATGTTTTCTTACCTTTACATTAACCCCCCCACACCACCACCACCACAAAACCACCAACAACAACAACAACATCCTCAACTCTTAATCCTTCAGGCCTTAAAACCCCCTAAAATCCCCGAGTCCTAAGCGCGCTCCAAAAGCATGATGGGAGACAGAGAAGAGCCTGCCGGCTGGGAGTGAATCCGTGTGAGGACCAGAATGTCTTACTTGCCTTGTGTTACATGTTGGCATGGCAGCAGTAGATGAGTACTACTGAACAAATTATGAGCGCAGACTTAACGATCTTACAGGCCCCTAGCTGGGGACAAAGTGGGGGAACAAAAAATGAAAGAGCTGTGAGTATCAACGCAGTGGCAAGTGACTGCAAGAAGTAAAAAAATAAAAGAAGTCAGTGAGTAATATACATCTACGACGGCCTGTTAGGGCTATTGTCGGTTAAAATAAAGTTGATTACAGAGGTGGAGGAGATGGCTAATATTCCCAGAAAAGAACTTTCCAAATTTCCAAGATTAAAGTAGTAAATTAATAAGAAAAAACGTGGATATTCACTTTTGTTTTCTCATAAATTTGTGATTTTTGTCTCATACATTTACCAGTTAAATCTCAGAGAATATCCAAGTTTTTTCTCTGAATATCACCCCCCTCCCCCGGCTCTGTAAATTATATATATATATATATATATATATATATATATATATATATACACAAATATGTATATTTGTAACCTACAACAGCCCTAAAACGCCGTCGTATACATCAGGCTTCATGTGCTCTGTGAGCTCGTTAGACTAAATGAGACAGAATGAGTTAAACTGTGTAACAGAGAAAGTTTTCACCATCTTCTCACCTGAGAGCAAAGACGGAGTCTTAGACTCAGTGGAGTGAAGCCTTTTTATGAGCAAATATTTAAGTAACTTTTGATATTCTCAAAGAAAAAGTCCAACCATATATTTAAACTTCTAGTTATGATTCATTCACAACGTTCAATGCACTTTTTTGTGACTTTTGTGGGTGTTCCCACTTTCCCTGAACCTGCCTGATTTTACCCATAATGCCTTTCTACAGCCACCTAAACTTATTGTCTCAGTTAATAACAATAGGTGCAAAGTCGGACTGCAGGTATAACCCGACTACATTTGGATTTTTGAGGCCAATACTGATATTGATATTTGGGAGGGTGATTGTACAGCTTCAGAACTATACATATGACAGCCACTCTATTTCAAAATAAAACATCCTGTTTTCTTAAAGTGGACATTTTCTTTGACAATATGGACTCAAATGAATCGGGAGTCTTAATACACACAGATATAAAACATGTCTGTTTATCAGCCTCTTATGTAAATATACTGGACTTGTCTTACCTTTCTTTAATCAGTATGCTTAACATGAGAAAGGTATAAGCAGTTTACTTCACAAAAAGCCTTTTTATATCATTAATGATATGATATGATTCATGTTTGTTTGATATCATATGGTTTTAGCAAAATAAATAAAAAAGAATAATCTGGAGAAGTTGCCCATTGTGAATAATGAACCTATTTGTTTTTGTGTTGTTTTTAGTCTTTATTGTGTTTATGCTGCCGGGTCACGTTCTGTTTCTGGCTCTTATAAACATTTATCTCTACTTCTGTTTACTCTCTACAACAACACAGTTTTTTATGACATAAAGAAACGTAAAACATATTTTGTGGATGTTTAAAATGCGACAACAAACCTCAGCAGGTGAGAGAAAAAAAAAGAGGAAACATGAGTGCACCTGTTCAGTCTGTTTTTCAGTTAAATACCTGGTCATCGTTCAGGTAGTTGGGCAGGCCTCCTATGAACAGTTTGTGGGGGGAGTCGGGAACAACCGTGGAGACCACGCCTACAGACAACAAGACAACGAGACAAACATTTAGTTTATGGTATAACAGAAGACGTCATCACTTCATACGAGTCAGTGACACACCTGGAACGTGGAAGGCGGGCTGCTCTGAGATGCCGGGTAAAGGCCGATAATCGTGAGGTCGTCTGATCTTCAGCGACTGACCCTGAAATATGATCCCATCGAAGGCCATCGCCTGCGTCGTCTCGTCTACGGACCGGAACTGGAGAGGAAAATGTTTTGATATTGAAACATCTGCTTCATTATATATATATATATTATATATTATAATCAAATCATGTAATAATAGCTTTAACTTTAAAGAAACTATATGAAAACATTCAATATGTCTGGACACCTCTAGGAAAGCAAAGTTTTTATCCTGGTTGATCTGCACAGCGAGCACAGGGTTGCTCGGGGCTTGTGAGAGGCCTGCGAGCCTCATCTGAGCGTTGAAGAACTCGGCCATGGACTCCTGAGGAGGCAGACAACAAACAGCATGGCTGGAAACAACACGAACATATCAGTGTTTGGCATAAATACCACAGAATGAGCAGGAAGTCTAAGAGAAGGGCAACGAGAGAGGCTTCACCTCAGTTACTCCAAAGGGAATATTTCCAACGTAGAGGCGCCTGGCTTGTCTCGTCATCTGACTGCCAACTACGGGCACTTGTGTTGGAGCTGCAGCCACTCCGGTGGGGGTGGACGTCGCCAGCAGAGCTATTGTTGGTATCTGGCCAGCGGCTGGAGGATAGAGAAGAACGTGAGGAACGTGAGGAACTTCAACTACAAAACTGTTACCTTCTGCAAACAATGCAGCTTGCTCTTAACTTGTTGGTCTCCATTTAAAAATCCTAAGAAACTCTCTACTTTTACTCATGGTTGGTTAAAACAATATTATTTTCAGGGAAGTTCTGAAGACACAAGTAACGCCTTTACTCTGTTTTAAAATGAGCAAAAGGAGAACACGACAAGTACCTTGCATAGCTTTATATTGCATTGGTGTGATGTGTTCAAAGCCAGGAGGAGAAACATCCCAATACTTGCAGGTCCTTTTCTGCCTTGTTCGCCTTGGAGAGTGGCTGGAAGCAGAGGAATTACAAAATAAAAGCTCAAGCACTGTATTAACAGTGACACTTAAATGCCATCAGTTCTCTAAAAAAAGCTGGCTGTACACTCGCTGCTCACCAGAAAACATCAGACAGACACAGTTAGAGACGAGCTGGTGAACATAGTGGAGCATTAAGTAGCTAAAGAGACAAATATTTCCCTGGTGGTGGAGACCAAAAACAGAGCTAAAAGAGAACTTATATTTGCATCGGGGGATATGATATTTACACAGTGGAGGAGGAAGTATTCAGATTCTTTACTTAAATAAAAGTACTAATACCACAGTATAAACATATTCTGTTTCAAGTAAAAGTTGTGCATTGAAAAGTATAAAAGTATAAGCAGGAAAAAGTAGTTAAAGTATTAAAACTGTATATTGTACTACAAGTACCTGCAGACTTTCCCCCACTGACCTGTGCTTCTTGTGGTCCCTGGAGGAGCTCCGGCGGTCCCGGCTCCTCTTCTCTCGGCTGCGGCTCCTCTTCTCTCGGCTCCTCTTCTCTCGGCTCCGGCTCCTCTTCTCTCGGCTCCTCTTCTCTCGGCTGCGGCTCCTCTTCTCTCGGCTCCGGCTCCTCTTCTCTCGGCTCCGGCTCCTCTTCTCTCGGCTCCGGCTCCTCTTCTCTCGGCTCCGGCTCCTCTTCTCTCGGCTCCGGCTCCCTCGGTCTTTGCTCCAGCTGCGATGTTTGTCGCCTCGGGCGGGAGATCCACTGCGACTCCTCTTTTTGTGTCTTTCTCTTTCTCTCTCTGTGCAGCAACAAGCAGTGATTACTATTTGTGTCCGTTATTAAATACTCCACATTTATAAATAACAATGGAGGTTACATGACTTCGACAATGAGAACGATAAAGTTGTAATCTGTCCCACAACAAAAGTAACAAAATAGAGTAATAACTAAAAATGTATTTCTCATGCCCACGTTATTATTATCTTGTGCTCATACAGTTAAAAAAATATATATTAAATGTGGGACCTTGAAGGCTCCATAATTAAACACAGTGAAAGGGGGCATTTTTCATTATAAGTACTTTTACTTTGGATACTTTAAGTACATTTTGCTGCTATAAATATACTAATACTTCAGTGAGGAATCTGAGAACATCTTTTACGTGATAGTATCCTGAATATCTTTGGAGTTTTGGACAATTAGTCGTTGGTCTATACAATTTTTCACTTTTCTCTGACATTTAATTTTTTGATTTTGATTTGATCCAAAACATAATGTGCAAGATGAAAAGACACCGTTAGAAGCAGCCCTAGTATGTAGTATTACTGCATTACTCACTCTTTACAGGTAATTAAGATTGTTATACAAATAATTTCTGCATTATTAGCTTGTTAATATTATTTTAATGTGCCTCATTCATTCTTATAATTACTGGGATGACCTGACTTTAAATACTGTACCTGAACTTATTTCATGGGACCAACTGCAGTTAAATACATTTTTCTTAAAAACAATGAGCACACAACGTGAAATAAAGTTCCACCATAAAACACAACGATCTCCTCTCGTTATTAATAACTCTGATTCCCTCCAGCTCCTCTGAGGAGTCCACAGACCACCGCGTCGTATTTCTTTGAGGAATCTGACAGATTAATGTGGTTGTTCTTCTTGGCAAAAGGAGAACGTCAGGTAGAACACGACTTAAGAGCTTTTAACAAATCAATAGAGGTACTTTTCATTTCTGCTCAGATCGGATCCATCGGGCAGCTCCACGCTGATTTAAACTCAAGTTTTAGATGTATTATTAATTACTTTTATACTTTATTTCTTTGTGTCTGGGGAAATGATTGGTGTTTTATGTTACTTCTTCATCTTACTGTACATGAGCTCCTTATTTATTTTATTATTTATTTATTATTGCTTTGTTTTTGTTGTCAGGTGACTAAAACCACAAAAAAAGCACACATTAGTTTTATAGTTTGTTTAATCCTATTAATAATGTGTTGCAACAATGGATGCCAAATTGAAAAGTACATCATAACGATTCAGAAAATCCCATATTGAGTCACTTCTTTCTTTACAAGCGAGGATAACATTAAAAAAGGTAAAATATTTTAATTGAGTTTTGCATCCGGCTGTCTCGCGCACGAGAGAGCCGGAAGGTAACTTCGTTTGTGTTCTCTCACCGGTACCCAGACTACGTCAGGTTCACCAACGGCTGTGAGTTGACGTTACCGGCATCATTCATATTTAAAAATTAATAATTAATAATTATGACAACACGAATTAGCTGAGTCACGTTGTGGGAAAAACTACGCGCTAAAGTTGTGCTGTCAGGTGGAGTTATTCATTCATAAAATAATCATAATGTCTATTGCGTAATGTCGCTAGCTTGAAGACCAAATTGGGGGCACAGTTAACACTCACCCTGTCGATTCTCGCTCAGCTGTTTCTCAAATTCCTCGAAATCCGACATTGTTTGTTTGTGTGTGTGAAGATGCAGCAGGTCCGTCTGTCTGAGGAGGACGATCACACAACCAGTCCGCTGAGTGTCAGTGCAGCAAAACACACTGAAATCTCCCCGGAGTCCAGCAAACTCACGAGGCAAAAGATGTACAACATCCGGTTAAAACCGTCAGAATAAAAGCATCCAGACGTACAGTTTAAGAAAATGCTTCACCTTTATTTACACATCGTGAAATAAAAAAAGGAATCAGTAAAAAGAGGTCTATGATTTAAGGAATGTGTATACAAACACACGATGTTCATACATGTGGCAACAAATTATAATATATATATATATATATATATATATATATATATATATTACTTATGGTGAAATGTAACTAAGTGCATTTACAGAGGTTTTCACTGTGTTCATTCCACTGCATTTATCTGATCGTTTAAGTATATTTACAGATTAAGAATGAACATAAAAAATAGATATAGATATAAATAGAATAGATAACATTTCTGCAGATGACACGACCCAGAACCGAACTTCAAATTAGCAACAATATAAAAAAGCTACATGTTAATAACAATCCTGTGATATAACGCCATCATGCAAAAAGCTTACTCTTACTTTTGATACTTTATTATTATGGTAATTCAGTACTTTTACTATATTGAGTACAGGACTTTTACTTTTAATAGAATATTGTCAAAACAAACATTAGGATCCGAGTACTTCTTCCACCACCTGCGTACAACAAATTTAAAAACGGACTACATACTTTATATAGTTGCAACCACTTTTAATGATGCAATCCTTTCTGTATAAGGACATTTGGTCATTTAAAGGGGTACAACTTTAGAATAGTTTTTATTGATTTTATTTTTATACTGTTTTAATTCTTTATTTTTTTTTAATTTTGTCTTTATTTTTCCCAATTTTTTTATTATAATACTTTCTTATTTTATATGTTCTTACTTTACTTGTTTTGTTATGTATGCCCTATTTTTGCTTTTTATTTTGAAGCTCACTAGCTCTACTCTACTGTATTAAACATGCTAAATAAATAAACTTGACTTTAGTCTCTAACATCTTATCATGAAGACCTCAACACCACAGCTCTCCCTCTGGCTGCTCAATCCATAGATTGTTTTAAAATGCATGACATTTCCTTTTTTGTCTTTTAATTCTATTTTGCTCTGTATGTGTTCATGTGTAATTAATCTTTGTACAGTACATCAGAAATGTCACCTGAAAGAAGCCTCTCTCACCCAGGTCTCCTCTCCTCTCCTCTGTCACTCTAAACATAAACATGTCGACAACAGCATCAGCTGTGCTGCTATTAAAAGAGTTCAAATCCCAGAGTATTGCTCTGGCAGCGCTGCAGCCCGTCATGTCAGAGGAGCTCTGTGAATGAGCTGCTGAGGCGAGCAGCTCCTCGGGAGGCGAATAAAAACCCCAGAACACCTGCAGAGGCCTCAGAAGCAGTAAGTGTTGGCTGCTAATTAATTTCTTGCTGGATCGAGGTCAGTTAGACGTGACCGGCTCTCTTTAACTCACTCGTGCAAAGTGCCAAGACGCTTTGTCAGCAAACTTCTATTCTAAACAGCTGCTGCTTGGAATAAGAAAAGTGGTTATTTCTTTATTTTTGTTGCTGTTCAGTTTCAGATTGTGTTCATGTATCTCTTGACTCTGTTGAGGAATAATGTGGCTGGTTCTCTGTGGCATTGAGTCTTTGTGAGAGGTACAGTATCTATTTCTAGGGCATGTGTATATTTAGACAAACAGCCGGTGCTTGGCATGGTAAACCTAAACCGAAAGGTTATCTTCAAATTCACTGTTGGACAAATCGAGAACATGTAAGTGCCTGTCTTTATAATCTGACAACAGAAAGTGGCCTTTTCAAGAGGTTTCTAACAGATTACACCTAAAGTGAAAGATAACTCTATGAGGTCATGGACGGATTAGGAGACAACGAGCCAGAGGACACAGACATAAAAGACATCTTACATGGGATCAACAGTCCTCTAGTCTAGTTGTTTTGTGTCTCTTTGTTTGTTTTACATCTTTTTGTAGTAGTTCCGTGTCTCTTGTGGTGATTTTGTGTCTCTTTGTGGTCTTTCTGCATCGCTGTGGTTGTTGTTGTTACTTTTTATGTTTGTTTTGCATCTTTTTGTGTTCATTTAGTGTCTGTTTTTGGCCATTTGTTTTTCATATTTTGTGGTCATATTGTGACATTTTGCGTCTCTGTCTCTTTCGTGGTGGTTTTCTGTCTCTTTGTAGTGATTTTAGCATTTCTTTGTAACTGAGTAATTGATTAATTGATTGATTGAGCGAGACCCTGGTCCTGTTTCAGGTCCTGTTCCCGGTTGGCGCTGTTCAATAATCCATGTTTAAGATATACTCACATACACGATTCATAAAATTGAAACTAAAATCTGGAAGAATACAAGTAGGTTAAAAATTATTGTTTAAAAAGTTAAAAGGCTGGATTTTATAGTTCAAAATTAGGATTAAATGAATAGTTTTTACAGTTTTCTGATTATTGAACGTGATTTTTCCTCATGCAGCACTGACTGTCTGTATATTGTATTTAAATATCCATATATATGGACACTATATGCAATAGGCACAAATCTCATTGATGGTGTGGTTTTTATAATTTATTCTTTGTTTGGATGACCGATGTAAGAACATAGTCAAAAAGATGTCTTCTCTGTTTGTATTTCAGAGTTGTAAAAGTAGTTAGATTAAAAAGTGGTTGAAGCAGGTGAGATGGATTCCAATGTTACGGAGCCGGAGAGCTTTTGGGTACGAAACGCTCCTTTTCTCATGTTCTATAGATCTGAAATGGACATCTCATCCCATCTCATCTGCATCTTCAGAAAAATAATTTTTCATCTAAAAAGTATGTTTAAAGCATCAAACATACTTTAAGAACAAACAACAAAACGTATCAGCTAACGTTTAAACACTTATTCACTTTCTTCCTGAAATTTAGATGAGAAGATTGACACCAATGTAATGTATGATGAATATGAAGCTCCAGTAAACTAGTTAGCATAGCTTAGCACAAAGACTGGAAACAGTGGGAAACAGCTAGCCTGGCTCATAGCTCACTAATTAATATGTAGCATCTTGTTTGTTTATTTTGTACAGAAACCAAAGTGTTACAATGTTTTTACAGTGAGTTTTGCATAAGCTATTCCTCCCTGTTTTCAGGCCCTATGCTAAGCTAAGCTAACCATTTGCTGGTTGAAATCTTGTGTTTAAATCTCCATCAGAAAGTGAATAAGCGTCTCAGAATGTCAAACTATTCATTTAATATTTCCTGCCAGTACTTACAAAGATATATCCATACTTTTGTTTTGTGTCAATTCTGCATTTTGAATATAAAACTAAAACCTTTTCCAGGATATCCTGCAGGAGATGGACTCAGTTTGGACCACCACTGTTCTCCTGGTTCCTTGTGTGATCGTGCTCACAGCTGGATTCTTCTACCTCTATAGCTTCATCATGGGTCTGCTGTCCAAAACGTCAGTACGCAACAAAGTGGTGGTTGTAACCGACGCTTTATCCGGGCTTGGAAAAGGTAACAATGCTTTAAAGTTACTGTGAGGAACTCTTAACTGGTTCTGAACCAGTCTCAGTTTAGTCCTGATCCTCTATCAGACCTCCATCAGTAAACAAGACCATCAGAGAGAAGATGGTCTGTTTCTATAGAGTTATTCTTAAAGCTCGTCATCGGTGCCACTGGGTCGGATTCTGGTGAAACCAGATGAAATCATGCAGGTTCACCAGAAACTCCTTCAGCTCAGACTCCAGCAGAGACCGGTCCACCGTGGACAGACCCAGATCCTCCAGCAGAGACCGGTCCACCGTGGACAGATCCAGATCCTCCAGCAGAGACCGGTCTACCGTGGACAGACCCAGACCCTCCAGCAGAGACCGGTCCACCGTGGACAGATCCAGATCCTCCAGCAGAGACCGGTCCACCGTGGACAGACCCAGATCCGGCTTCACTGCAGTCTTGGACCTGCAGTCGGAGCTCCGGAGGAGAGCTCAGCTCCCGGCAGCAGCAGCGTCTCCTTCTCTTCCTCCTCCAGGAGCAGAGCTCCTCCTCTCTGGGAGCTAACACCGACACCATGCTGCTGGAGACCCAGGACGTATTGCCGGACCCGCTGGAGGGAAGGGAGGCACGGGAGAACCAGAACCAGGACTGAGAGGGGCAGACTGTCAGACCCTGCTGCAGTAAAATGAGAGGTTTTCTAAAGGGAGTCTGGTGCTCAGAAACACTACAGCTTTAGTCCACAGGGACCAACAGAATCAAAACAGAAAAAGTTCCTCGTAGTAACTTCACCAAATAACAAACTGCTCTGCAAAGTACTTTGCTCTGCTAAGATTCTGGTCATCCATTTGATTTCACAGTGAACTTTATTTTTTTAATGCAGAATGTGCAGGTGTGTTTCACCGAGGAGGAGCGAGGCTGATCCTCTGTGGGAAGAGTTGGGAGGAGCTTGAAGAACTTGCCGATGATTTGGCGAACGCCTCAGACCCAACTCTGGTAAGAATACCAGCTCTGAAACATGAAACAGAGAGCGGTTCAACACTAAAATACTACGTTATCAAGTATTAAACTATCTTTGAGTAAATGTACTTATAATCCCCGTTCCTCAGACGTTTCCCTCTAAACTGGTGCTGCTGGATTTCGGAGACATGGACAGCATGCCCGATGTGATCTCTGAGATCCTGGAGTGTTACGGCTGCCTGGACATCGTCATCTTCAACAGCAGCATGAAGATCAAAGCTCCGGCACAGGACGTGTCTCTGGAGATGGACAAGTTACTGATGGACAACAACTACTTTGGACCGGCCACGCTGGCCAAAGGTAGACGATGGAGACACACTTCGGTCCGTAGAAGTACGATAATGTTTTTTGTTGCTTTGCTGCGGTGTGTTGAAACATTTCTGTTTCAGGTTTGCTGCCCTCAATGATCTCCAGGAGAACCGGTCACCTGCTCCTGGTCAACAGCATCCAGGGGAAAATAGCTGTGCCTTTTCGCACTTCATGTGAGTTTTATGAAGGGAAATACAATTGTACTTCTTATTTTGGGGTGCTATTGTACTTATTCTCAAGAAATATTAGAGGGATTACCGTTAAACTTTGCCCAAACATTAATGGTCCTCAGATGTTTTCCCGTAGCACTCATCATGAAGTTACATTTGTGGTTCTGCGTGACAACTTTTGGATCTATTGCCATGAAATTCGACACACGCATTCATGTTCCCCAGAGGATGAATTGTAATAACGTTGGTGAGCCTCCGACTTTTCATCTAGCGCCAATATCAGGTCAACGCTTAATGTGTCCAACGCTGTAAAACTCCTGACATTCCCATCAGCCTCAGCTGTACTTTCGTGCTAATTAGTAAATATTAGCATGCTAGCACGCTAAACTAAGCTAGAGACTTAGCACATTTAAGTCCCGCCCACACCGGAGGGTAAAACAATTCATCGCTGTCCATTGACTTTTTATTGTGTGAAGGTGCCTCCTTGTCACTAAAATAAAAATGTCTAAAAGCTGTTGTGTGGTGGGATGCTACACTACCAACAGGGCAAAGAACCCAGAACCACATGTACTATGTACATGTACATGGATGTAGTGTAAAGATACTGTGTTTTTACTTTCCAGACGCAGCCTCTAAACATGCGGTCCAGGCCTTCTTCGACTGCCTGAGAGCTGAAGTGGAAGAGTTCGGCATCTCCGTCAGCACCATCAACCACACCTTCATCAGTTGCTCGGCCTCGTCCGACACAGAAGCCTCCAAATCCATCTGGTCATGTGAGTAAAATCAGAGGATGAGGTTCAACCAAACATCGTATATTTTACTGCTGCAGGGCAACATTGAGTGTGATGACAACTGCCGTATATTCTTGGTCCCCAGAGGATGATTCTGAACATCATCAGGATCAATTTTCACCTGAGCAACACTTTTTATTTGATTCCAATCCTGTGGATATTTTAGGCTCCCAGAGGATTTGTATTTCCTCTAATATTTTAGTTGATATCATGCGTATATGGATCTAGTTCTTAAACTGCAATAATTGATTTTTAATATGCTATTATCGGATTAAGACTAAATTGAGTTTATCGTATATTTTTACCAGGAAAAAAATACACTAAAATGAAATAAGATGGTGATTACAAAAAGAAAATATATATATAATTTTTAGTAAGTTATTTTCTTTTTTTTTAAACGGCATTTTACCTTTATTTGAGCTACAGACAGAAAACTCTGGAAGTATTTAGATAATTTACTTGAGTAAAAGTAAATACCACAATATAAAAAATACTCCACTACAAGTTAAATTATAAAAAGTAAAAGTACACAATTACCTCCAGCAAAATATACTTAAGGTATCAAAAATGAAAAGTACTCACTTTGCAAAATGGCCCCGATCAAAGTGTCATATTTATCATATACGTATAAATTATTGGATTATTAGTATTGATTCATTTTTGTCTTAACATAAATACAACTGCATATTTCAAAAACCTGATCATATGTTTATGTATAAAATATTGATCTTCAAAGTAGCTGTTATAATAAATATAGAATAGTAAAGAGTGAAATATTTACCTCTGAAATGTGGAAGTATAAAGTAGCATTAAATGGAAATATACAAGTGCGAGTACCTCAAACTTCCACTTAAATATGTTAGTAAATACACTTGAATAAAGATTTCTAAAAAGTGAACTTTGGTTAAGTCCAGTAGTAGTTCGACTACGTTTTAGGAGAACTTTAATGAATACAAACTGTATTATGTCCTCTCTCTGATCTTCGCAGTGTTGTACACAAAGAAACCTCTCGGCGTTTCTCCGGACGAGGCAGCGACTGAGATCGTGAAGACGTTGAGCAACAAGAGGAAAGAGGTGCTGATCGCTCCCTCGCTGCCGAAGGTGGCGCTCTTCACCAGATGCTTCTTCCCCGACGTGTTCTTCTCTGTGATGGCCGCAGGAGTGAAGAGCGCTGCAGCCGCTGAGAACATGTAGTGTGATCACTGAGGATGTGTTTCATGATGTTTCACCCTTTCACCCAAGCAGGCAATCTAAAACATGATCAATAATCTGTTGTTTGTCCTGTTTGCACTATTCAAGATGTTTAAGCCATATGGCCAAGATGGTTAACTTACATTTATCATTTAAAAATAATGTCCACAGAGCATTTGGGATGCAAAATACATCCAAAGGATAATTCATATGTTAAGTTATGCTTTGATTGTTCACAGTGTTCTGTATATTTTGCATGTAAACATGCAGAAAATTATCATCAAGGTGCAGCATTGACATAAAAAATAGTCATTAAAAAGAAAATGTTGTATTTGTTCTTGTATTTGTGGCTTTACAAGAGAAATAAAAAGCATTTATGTGAAAGCTCTAATCATTTAAAAGTTATTTTCTTTTTCTTTTAATGCATTTTATTATTAATTTAAGTCAATTTAATTTTTGAAAACAGTTTATTGCTGGCACCAGGAACACACGTGCTAAAAGAAAAAATGAACACTTTAAACTTGATGATTTCCACTGAGTTTTTCTGGAAATAAACATTAAATTTGACACTAATTAAATATATATTTTTAAAGAAAAGCTCAATTTAATTTAATTTAATTTAAGTAAATATTAATTTATTGTTAGAAATGTTACTCTCCATATCTGTTGAATTGTAGGCTTGCCTGTAAGCAGATAGAAGGGTAATTATTATTAATACCTTTTGTGTTTTTTCTTAAATTAATACCAAATTATGTAGATCTTAGAAGATTTCTTAGGAAATCATTCAGAAATCACAGAACTGTAAATTAAGTTAAAGTGGAATAAATTGTGAAAACATATATAAAAAATACGCACCTGATTTCTAAAATTTCTCGTCATTTAATCACATTTTAAAATAATTAAACTCGTTTTACTGTAGAGGTAAAAAACAAAAAAGGTGATAAAGAAGTTAATCAGTCTTGAGAGCGAAGGCGCCCCCTGGTGGTCAGTCTGTACAACTACTACTACCTTCCACTGAACTAGTATTACGTGTCTTTTTCATGTATAAATGGCCTTTAAAGTATTCTCCAGACTCACTGCGGTGACTCTCCGACTGAAGCCTCATCCTGCCGCCTTCAGTGCGTTGAGCTCCGGCGGCAGTTTAACGGTGGAACACGACCGACAGAACCGGCGCTTCACCGTCTCTCCGGACAGCGGAGCTGGTAAGCAGAGGGAGCCGGGCTGGGCGCACCGGTAACGTGGGAGATCCTGAAGGAGAGCCCGGGGTCCACATGCGGCCTGCTGGAATTAACAAGTCTGTCCGATAGAATAATTTACATTTTTACAATAAACAGCTGCTTCTTTACGGACGTATATTTAGATTTTGCTCAAATATTTACAGCGTCGTTTTTGTACGTTGAGAACTCTGAGCGAAACTTCGTTTAAAGATCGTAAGGTTTAATTTGACTTCGCCCTGTGTACACGCTGCTCAAACGATATGAATGACTTGTACTTAATACAATTTGTTACTATCCACCAAACCGCTCGGCGTACATATTACAAGCAAAAGTCACACGTTTCAGCACATTTCTGGCTAGTTGGCCACAGTAGCACTGTAGTAACAGACACGTGGGGGCCACTTAAATACAGGTATTTCCGGAGGGACCTTGGTATTGTTCAAAATATCTGTAAAAAAGGCCATAACTTCCACCTAATGTCCCTCACCCCCATTACAATGAAACAAAAGATGTGACAACTGCTCCCTCATAAGAAAACATGAGTTAAAGCAATAAATACTTGTATAATTCAAAGTAAACTGTTGTTTAATTAGCTCATCCTGGGCCCCTTGTTGTCTGTGATTCCCTAATGAGCTCCGTTGTTGTTATCTGGATCCCAGTCATTTAAAATGTTCTTCCTCTTCCTCTCTCCACAGACTGTGCCGTGCTGCTCTACAGGTTCACCGGGGAGAAGGAGGTGGATCTCATGTCAACCTTTGTACCGGAGACCTTCAGGGGCCACGGTGTTGCTGCTCTTCTGTCTCAGGTAAGTTAAACTCACTACGCGTCAGTCGGCGTTGAACCGCTTGTTCTTCATGTATTAAATGCTCCTCTTCCAGGCTGCCATGGACTTCCTGGTTGAGGAAAACCTCAAGGCTTATGTCTCCTGTTGGTATATAAAGAAATACATCGAGGAAAACCCGCGACAGCGTTATGAACAACGTGTCATCACTTGACTGAAGAGCAGATGAGATTCTACCTCAAATCAACAACAACCTCGTGTGTCAATGGATCAATAAGTCATATCATATTTATATTGTAGAGATGTTTGACGAAACCCCATTAAAGTTAGGCACATACAATTCAGAACAGAGACATGCATTTAATCCAACGTAATTATGAATAAAGCTACGGAAAATCTCCCTGAAATGAATTCTGGGTTTGAAGACGTTTGTCTGTAATCACTCTGTTTATATTTTCTAATAAAATATGAATATTTATGAATTATTCATATGTTTATCAAGACATAATGTTTGATTGTTGATCATGTCTGTATACTTGAAGAAACACTACAAATCTTTGTCTTTCTAAGATGTATTTGTTGACAATTAAAATGCTAATTTTTGAAAATGTCTTCTCTGAGTATATTGATATCAGGAGGGATGAGTGGGTTTACTTTATGATATATATATATAAAAAAAAAATGAGATTATTGTTATGAGATGACTTGCAGCAGCAGGAAGAACAAACGCTCAGCAACACAGTCAACAGACGTCACTCATCAAGGTTTTATTTCAGTTTTTGTTCCTCAGTTGAAAAGTATTCATGTTTCATTTAATGACGAGTAAACTGAGATCAAACGAAGCAGAAATGATTCCTGTGCTGTAAATACAAACAATCCTTCTGGTTGTTTATAGTTTTAGTCCAACAGATGTCAGCCTCACTCCTCCTTCACTCCTCTTGTTGGTCGAGTCGATGTTTGTAGAAGAAAAAGTAAACTCCTGGTTTCTTTGAAACAGTCGATGACAGAACTAAAGCGTGGACGAACAATAGATTAATGATGTTTAAAAATCAACCACATGCAGGCCTTTTCTTAACATATCAAAGGTATATCGGTGTCTTTGTGGTCATGTTGCATCCTTTGGGGTGTTTGTTTGCCTATGTTGGTGTTTTGCATCTTTTTGTGGTCGTCTTTTGGGTCTTTGTGGTCATTTTGTGTGTTTTTGTCATTGTGTTTTACATCTTGTGGTAGTTTTGTGTTCATTTTGTAGTATTTTTCAGTGTCTTTGTGGCTGTGTTGCGTCTGTTTGTGGTATTTTGTGTGTCTGTGGTCTTTTTGTGTCTCTTTGTTGGTGTTTTGCATCTTCCTATGGTCTTCTTTTGGGGTCTCTGGGCATTTTGTGTGTTTTTGTCATTGTGTTTTATGCCTTGTAATCATTCCGTGTCTATTCGTGGTGTTGTTGTTTGTGTCTTTGTGTACTTTTCTGGGTGTTTTGAATCTATGTAAAGTTGTTTTGGTCGTCTGTTGGGTACTTGTGGTCATTTTGTGTGTTTTTGTCACCAACAAAAGTATAAAATAAGCTTTTTAACTGTCTCTCGAGCCACATATTTGCCGACGTCCTTACATACGAACACACGGTGGAACTCTTCGTGCCAAGTAGAGATCATCAATACAGCAAACGAGCGTCGGCTGATCCTCTCGGCTCCATATGATCCGTGTGATGAACCGTCAGCTCCTCCCATCTGCTCCTGAAAGACTAACGCTCACAGCGTGGTCGGCTAAAGACACAGAGAAGATGTGCTTTTAGCTGACGAGAATAATCTCTCTCCTCAGACATAGAATGGCTTCACATGAACGGATTATGAGACAATGGATTTGTATGGTTGAAGGGTACTTCTGTGTCAATTTGTAGTAGTTTTCAGTGTGTTTTTGTGGTAATTTTGTGTAATTTTGTGGTTGTGTTGCGTCTGTTCGTGGTATTTTGTGTGTCTGTGGTGATTTTCCTTGTTTATGGTAATTTTGAGTGCCTTTGTGGGTGTTTGCATCTTCTCGTGGTCTTCTTTTTGGGTCTCTGTAGGCATTTTGTCATTGAGTTTTACGCCTTGCAGTCATTTTGTGTCTCTTTGTGGTCAGTTTGTGTCTCGTAGTAATTTTGTGTCGCTGTAGTTGTGTCTATATGGAGTCGTTTGATTGACTTTTCAGCAACAACCGTTTACAGTCCGGTTGGGCCTTTGTGCCGATGCTCAGTCGTCCCTTTAAAGTACAGTAATGTTCCTACTGAGGGCCATTGTTCGTCTTAATGAACAGGTGACCAAACGTCGTCCCAGAGAGCAACACAAGAGAAAAAGGCCAAAACAGCGACGGATCTTTGAAGTGGAAACATCCCAACACGACACATAAAGGAGCTGCAGCTGCAGCAGCCTGCACATCCTGCAGCTTTCCTCAGATTAGTGCGAAGACGTTGAAATTGCAGCCCGCTTCCTCCCACAAATAATATCACACGGAAAGATTTGATGAAATACATGTTGTGTCAAATCCGACCATGTTACATTATTTCCGGAAAAAAAGAAAGAATCCGTGGCAACAAGCAAATATGTCTCCTGTATTAGAAATTCAAATCCCAATCTGGGTCCAGGAAATCAGCCTGAAAACTGTTCTGGTGGGTCACGGGGGCAGGGACTTAATTTTCAACAATACACCTCTCCTTGTGGTTCTGGTTCACCGTCCATCTCCACCACATACGTTGTTCCTGTGGAGGGTTTGTGGCCGTTGACCGGCAGCTCTAGCTGAGCCTCGGCGCCGGCGGGAACAGCGGTGAGGTACATGTCCCACATCTGGTCGGGGAGGTCCTGCTGCAGCATCTTCTGCTTGATCATCAGGCTCTTCGCGATGTTCCGCCGCTTGTATTTAAACTCCACGATGGTCTTCGTGTACCTGTTGAGCGCTGTCACCGCAGAGCCCATGCAAGTGCCAAAAGAGCCCCACGCTAAGCTGAGGAGAGGTTTCAAAAACAGGAAACGTAAGAAGTCAAAACCCACACCAAGATTATACATCACCGTTCAAAAGTTATGAATCTCCTGCCACCAAAGCTTGACTGTGTCCAGTCAGATGTCAATAAAACATTTAAAGTCTGAATTATACTGTTTTTATGTCTATTAAGATGGTTGTTACTGTAGCGAAGAACCCACTGAGCAGGAGACGTCTGTGGCCATAAACTGGACGACCACTGACGACCAGACACAGTTGATCATTTACATTTATTTTAAAAACAAAGAGGAGAGACTGACTAGCGAAGACAAGCGTAGACTTTAAACTCTTTATCCAGGTTGTGGGATTTGGAAGTCAATTTACGCGTTGTATCATATAACAACGGTTCGTATGATATCTTACTTTCTCCAGCAACACGAGCCAATTTCCACTCGTTACATCCATACAGGCTTTTCAAAATAAACTTCCGTCTTCACAGGAAATAACACAGTTAGGTTGAGGCAACAAAACTACTTAGTTTGGTTTCGGAAAAAATTGACGTTTGGGTTCAAATGAATACGGAAATGCTGTTACTGAACTACTCAAGTTACGTGACAAATAAATCAACGTTGACTTCTCGTTTCGGGAACAAACTGCGATCTCCTGGCTAAAAGTTTGCAGTTTGTTGGACTCATCCACCTTCCATCCGCCCGCCTTTGTGTGCTTTAGTGGCCTCTATACTTCCTCGTTCATGATTACGTGGGATAACTAAGAATTATGGCGCATTATTTTTTTCGTCTGTATTGTTACGAAATATTGGATGAAACCAGCTCGACCAACAACGTACAGAACGGAATATAACAGCTGATCCAAACTTTTAAATATATATACACATTTTCCAGTGGCTTTAAAAAGAGCTTACACATAAGACCAGCTGTAGTCCCAGGTCTTGGGCCTCCAGTCTTCTGGTCCCATAGCGACAGCCAGCTGGAATATGGTGGTGAACATCATGTGGGCCACCATCCCACAAAGGCCTGAGAGAACAAGAGCAGATCAGTGAGTAAGATGAAGTAATATATTACTTATTACTTTAGTAATGGGTGGATTGAACAGTATATTGATTCATGAATTACACAGTTTTCAGTCTTCCTGATCATCAAGACTCAACATTACAGGCATGAAAAGTCAAACTACAAAGTAAGACAGGTAGAAAAAAGGATGGAGAGCTAAGTTAAACACAATGAATGATGGGAAACACTTAATTTGTCACCAGCAGAGTACCAGCAGCGTAGTAGATGACACAGACTAAATAAAAACATGTTCTATGCGGCTTGTTGAGAGACGCCATATTCATCTCCGGTAGCGTCAGCGGCCTGTCGATCGCCGTGTAGCCCCGCCCTAAAGCATCCCCTGCTTTATGGTCTGTTTGACTCTGAATGGACCCATAATGTACTAAATGAACATCATGCTGTATTGAAGAAGACTTGAAACTAGAGATTGAGACCATAAACTCATGTTTACAATGTTTACTGAGGGAATAAATCAAGAGAGAAGTAGAGTCATTTTCTCATAGACTTCTATACAACCAGAGGAGTCGCCCCCTGGTGGTCACTAGAGAGAATGCATGCAAATGATGACTTTTATACAGTGTTGATATGTACCAAATGGTTGTTGCAGATGAAACGTAAAGAGAGATCTTTAAGGAACACATATTTAGTGACAGTTGTGTTGTTCTGGGACGTGTGATGCATTCAGACGGACTCTGGTTGAGGTGAACTGGCCTCTCTGTTACCTCTGTTATATCCTGGATCCTCTCTCATCCAGCAGCCTGCCTCTCCACAGCTGCTTTTCTTGGGATTAACTCGTAACAACGGAGGGGGATGGGAGTCAGGGGGATGGATGGAGGGGGTGGGGGGGTAGAGGGAGCTCCTCTGGGCAGGTCTTGGCACAGCCCAAAACCGCTGCTCCGGCTCCAATCCGATTAGTCCACAAACCAACAAATCCTCCGAGGTAGTGAGCGGATGCAGGACGCCGCTCTGTGTTCGCTGCTGCTGACTGACCTGCTGCCCTGACTCATTTACAGTCATCTCCTCCGAAAATACAGTAAAGGCAGCACTGTTTCCTCTCTTTACTATTTAGCATTTATAAGCAGTCTAAAGACTCCTAATGGATGGTTTTTAACACACTTTAATGTGGCAGATTTATTTATGTATTTATAAACAACTATGCAGCTTCTCTCTCTCTCTATAAATATATATATATAAATATATATTTATTAATATATGTATGGTTTAATATATATATATATATATGTATATATACATATATTATAAATATATATTATACTATTAACTTAATCTCCAACTATTTTAATTATCGACAGGTTAATCAACAATGGAAATAAACATTCCAGCTATTTGTGAGACATGTTGCAGGAGTTTTTTCCTCCGACACACCTTCAGCTGTGCAGAGACTTTTTCTTTTATATGAAATATGTCCTCACAAACACTTAAAATGTTCTTAGATCTGCATACAACAACACTATAGTGTGTTAACAACCAGGACAAATGCATATTATAGAGAATTTATAAGTTCTTAAAAATAAAATACAACAAAACTTTTTACCACAATAATATTTAGTTTGGGGGAGTTTATGGAAAATACTCTCACAGACTTGAGGCTTGATTGATGAACAGCAAAAATAAATATAAATGTTGTATTTCTGCACAAATAAAAAAAGGGATTAAACTGAATATTTTTGAAATAAAGTTATTGTTCCCAAAAAAGGGAACCCAATGCATGAATCCAGATTTTTGGCATGCATCTATGAAAGTGTGTACTTGTGTGTCCAGTTTAAACTGTCATCATGTGACAGGCTGTCCCTCTGCGGTTCACCTCTCTGATTGGTTCAGAGCAGCTGGATTTAGTTGATGATCCCAGCGAAAACTCAGAAAAGACTTTTCAGAGGCAGAACTGCAGAAATAATGTCGGTGACTGAACTGAAGAATTTCAGTTTGTTTAAATCAGATTATTAGAGATTCATGTACGGAAATTTTAAATTTTCTGATTATCTGTTAATGCATTTCAAAATAAATTCTAATGTGAAAATCAGAGCAACAATATTTATTTGGTTGTAATCATTAAAAAATTATTCTAAATGGCATTTTCCCATTAACATTTTTTTTTTATATGATATTATATCAATTCTCATGTTAATGTTTTTAATCTTTTGAGTGACAAAATTAATTCATTTCCTGTGACTCTTTCACAATAAAAGCTGCCCTGTGTTTTGTTGGGTTTGTGGTAGCAGTGAAGGCTAAGTGAGAATAAGATCAGGGAGATAAAAATCCCGCCGCATTGTTTCTTTCATGAGCGTGAAGGTAATTTGAATCCATTGCGGGAATGGCGGACTCCGCCACCAACAATGCAAACTACTATACAGAGAGTTAATTACACAATGTAAAAGCATTGGCTTATATTCTGACCCTGAATAATCTCACTCCCTATTCCTAAACCTAATCAACCTAACCAACCAAGGCAACGAGTACTAGCCAATCAGAGGCAGAGTGTGGCGGGTCAAGCTTTCACAACAGAAGGATTCAGAACTTAGCGCCACCCTGAGGCCGGAGGGCTGTGTTTTACCCCCAAACTGCCACAAGGGGGCAACAATGAGCCAATTCCACACTCAAAAATAAACTACGTCAAGTAACACCAAGATGAGAATAATGCTTTATCGCAAGTGTTTTCAAACACTATTGTTTATCTTTATCTTTTTGACTTTATTCACTTTTCTTTCAAATTATTTGTTTTAGTTTAGCTTAACTTTGCTTTATTTCAAATCCAAACTCGATTGATTTTGAACTTATTTATAATAGCTTTTCCTCGGTTCCTGATTTACTAAATGAACATCATGCTGTGTTGAAGAAGACTTGAAACTAGAGATTGAGACCATAAACTCATGTTTACAATGTTTACTGAGGTAATAAATCAAGAGAGAAGTAGAGTCATTTTCTCATAGACTTATATACAACCAGAGGAGTTGCCCCCTGCTGGACACTAGAGAGAATGCGGGTTGTAAGACACTTCCGCATCGGCTTCACTTGGCAGAACCGGAGGTTTACCGCCTGGTCACAACTCACTCGGATAGACTGAAAAGCAAACAGCAGCGTTACCTGAGAGGGCGGTGCACACGGCAGCGAAGGCACTTAGCTTCAGCTTGTTCATGATGCTGAAGCAGGGACACTGCTCCAGGGTCATCAGAGCCCCGCCTGTGAAGAGCAGGGTGAGGTACAGACTCTCAGCCACGATACACAACCACAAAACCCCTGTGAACACAAAACAAACAGAGGAGGGGAGGGTCAGAATTGAGTCTTGTTTTCCTCATAATACCCTGTCACTGATGAATAATCCCACTGAGGTCATGTGGGGACAACAGGTCTGCTCCTTTTAGGTCTGGAGATCTGAATCTGGTCGTCTGAGACCAGATGGATGAATAAAATCAGGGCAGCAGCTGCTGCTGATGCTATTTATTCATATCGTGCTTGTAAAGCTGAGATCTCACAGTACGTGTGAAGGTGTTCTTTCAGGTTTATGTTGTTGTTAATGTATGTTATATAATTATTTTCTAGACTAGATGATGCTGACTCACTAACTGGACGTACAATTACATTTACTTTAAGATCTGGCACAGGGCAAAACATCTGCTAATTACATTCGTTTAGTAATTTGCAATTTGCACACTTGTAGACTCTTTTACTCTTATGTTAAAACGTGTCCATCCATCCATCATCATCATCATCATCATCATCATCATCATTCATCACCCATCTTTCCTTCCATCCGTCCCTCCGTCCATCCATCATTTGTCCGTCTGTCCATCCCTCCATCATCATCCATCACCCATCATCTTTCTGTCTGTCCGTCCATCCATTATCATCCATCCACTCATCCATCTCTCCATCCATCCATCATCATCCATCCATCCGCTCATCTGTCCATCCATCCATCCATCCATCCGCTCATCCGTCCATCCATCATAATCCATCTGCTCATCCATCCGTCCGTCCGTCCATTCATCTCTCCAACCATCCATCATCTATCCATCTATCATCTATCATCCATTCATTCGTCCACCCGTCCATCCATCCTACATCGTCCATCCTACTTCGTCCATCCATCGTCTGTCTGTCCGTCCATCCATCTAAATCCTAAATCATACAGTATCGTATCATATCGTACGATAGGCCATAAATCAGAGATGCTTCTATGCTGACAAAACACTTTAAAGCTCACTGATTGGATGTTTCTTGTGGAAATGCACCATGGGAATTGTAATCGTTGCAGTAATCTTTTATTATGATAATTCAACTGCAAAAGTATGTAGACATTAATTTAACTTTTATATCATCATTTAAAATATTTGTAATGGGCAAGTAATCTCGTCTAATTTTGATGGTTAACACTTAGTAAATGTAGGTCGCCATGTTTGTACTGAAACATCAATAATGTTACCTGTGTTCAGGAATGCATCGCTCAATTGTCCCGCTCTCAAAACTTTCAAACGAAACATAAAGTTATTGTTAAAAATATCAAACTTCCAGTATTTTACCTCTTTCATGTTCTGGTGCGATCTCTGAGAAGTCTCGACAGTCAAATCCTGTGATCAAAGGGAAAAATACAGTCAAGTGAATGTAATTGTTGTAGAATGAAGTGACAACAGTCATTGTAATTTGATGATAAATGATGATAAAAAGGACTTTCCTTGAAATTAATTTATTTAAAGTGTACACATTGATGTAGTTTTACAGATCAAAACAAGACTTTTAATTGTAAGAATAATAACTGTAGTCTGTTATGTGGTCAGAAAATGTTTTTGTAATTAACCTGATATAAGAATGGCATACATCATTTTTCTCTCAAATTAACTCACTTCATTCTGACTTATTTTTCAGGAAACATTATGACTTTTTTCTGGAAATATTATTTTTTTCTTTTCTTTTAACAGCGGCCTTAATACTCTATTGTACTAACTAAATCTGCTTTTCAAGGCAAATCGAGTTTAAAGCTTAATATATTCTGCATAATTCCAATTATTTCAGATCCCAGCTGGAGATGTGAATTGATTAAACCATCAAATTTTACTCTTAGTTAGTTTTCAATTTGCCTTCCTGCGAAACTGATTGACAATCATTTTTATGGGTGGAAGTCGGCACATCAAACAATTTGTCTTTAAATTGCATGCGATTCCTAAAATGTATTGTATACTCGGTGCTATTATTAGAGTTTATGAAAACAGATGGGACGGCTAGCATGCAACGCTAAGAGAAATGGATTTAATCCGGTTGTGACTCACAGGAGCTCTGCTGGTAATGTTGAGAAAACAGAATCTTACAAATACTATATAATTGTGAATAGTGCTGAGAAAGGTGGCTGCATTGTTTTCTGCATACTGACATTAATCCCACTTCCTGAGACAATGTGGACGCGTTCACCTACATAGTGCTCAGAATTACACAGACTTTGTGGAGGTTTTCACTTTTAGTTTCCGGCATTGTTAAGTGAAATGCTTAAAGGCACATCAGCTGTTTTCAACCAATCAGGATGAAGCAACATGTGATTCAAGTTTCTGACTGTTAAACTCTTAATGAACGATAACTTATGATGTATTTTCCAAAAACAGGTTGTCGCTTCTTTAATCATGAACATTTAAAGTCATCAAGAACAAACTAAGGTGTGAAACAAAGTTTTTATTTGACAGTATCTCTACCTGTACATGGTGGATGAGTTAGTGATACAAAATACGATAAACCAATAAATTATTATGTGTAATTATGGATTAACCTACCCAGCAGTACATACACAAGGTAAATTAGCTCCACATTTACCAGCTGCAACATTAATGCTTCACTGATTCAATAACTATAATAATATATATTATTTTGAAATTGGTCATTCTGCAAAATTAGTACTTTAGTACTATAACTATATTTTTTGCATGTCAACTATATTTGGGGCAAATACTTTTATACTTTTACTCAGTAAACTTTGGAATGCAGGACTTTTACTTCTGCTACTTTTACAAAGTAAAATATCTCAGAACTTAAGACCTAAACTTCAGGTTGATTTGTTCTGGAGCATCTTTGCGTTATTGTTTCCAGGTCAAATGATGAAGTTTCATGTTCTGGTTGATGATATTTAGCTTTGACTTTGACTCATTTTTTTGTTCTTAAATGCTGCAACATCTCACAGCATCAAATCAACTGGACTCCTGGTTAATCCTGGTAGATCTTTGACTTTCCCTGCATTCATTAGCACCTTTAATCTGTCCTTACCTCACATGCATGGTAGCAAACACAGCTGTGAGTCTGATTCATTATTTTGTTGATTTAAAATACACATAAAATACACAAAAAGTGACCCAGGCGCCTAAAGAAAATCACTAATGTCTCATACAATTATAATAAATATAGTTTGATAAATAAAAATACAGTTGTTGCATGTGTTGAATCATGGAAAATATTAATAAATAACAGTTTTAAAATGTTCTATGATCTGCAGACTTAAGTGAGATACTGTGTGAAGGTCTTTCATGGTATATAAATAAAGTGAATAAAACATATTCAGTGTATTCACCAATGACTAGACGGACTCTGTAATTACTCTCATTAACCTGTAGGTCGACTAAAGAGTCCTCTGACATCACTTCCTGTTTTTGAACGCCTCTAGCTGAACCTGAGGGGTCTTTGGTCAGACTCACCATTCATGTCGGCGGCCTGCTCGCAGGAGAAAAATATTCCCGCGTGGAACTTCCTCAGGAGAAACTTCTCCTCTCCGCTCTCGAAGATGTACTGCACCAGCCGGCTGTCGTTGATGTTGGAGCTGTTGAAGCGGATGCAGAACCACTGCTTCACCTTCAGCGGCGGGCCCGTGCAGAACGGTTTGGGCACCTTCCTGGTCCCCTCGCACCAGTAGCTGGTGGTCACCGCCGATAAGGCAAAGGCAAACGCCACAAAGTTGAGGGTGAGCGCCAGAGAAGCCCGCCGCCCGCGCTCTAGCCTCATGGTCGAGGCCAGGCCCGAGGAGACGAAATGAAAAGGCAACTAATCCCGGCTTTCGATATGTAGCCGCCGTGTTTCGCCTCCCAGCAGATGTGTCAAATCTTCATAATCTCGTTGGGGCTCCTTGGGTGAGAATTCTGCGCATCCCTCCGCCGGCTCTAATGATGTGCTACCACCTTGATTGAAGGGATTCATTATTCTCTCCACTTCCACAGAAACAATAGAAACCCATGGCACTCTTTGCTTTTCTCAGCTTCATTTGAACTCTTTCGCTCTCCGCTGCTCGTCCAGCCCCATCCTCGCTCCTCCCCTTCTACAAATCTTTTCCTGCATTATTATCCATTACAAATGGCAAATTATGTTCCAGATTTCCTTTGAGCAGAGTCATCAAAAAAATAAATAGAAAAAAGATTACTATGAGCTTAGATTATAATCCAGGACCAAGTTTACATTTCCCAGATTTTTCCTGCCTTCAATGTCGAAGCGCATCTCAAAGCAGCCGCAGACGTAAGATCAGTGCCTGTTTCCCAGCCGGTGAGCCGTGACATAATGTGTACAGTCGCACATGAAAATGCATCCATAATGTGGGTGCATGCAGGACAAATCTGCTCATGACGAAAAAGCCCGCTGATGTGGGCTACGGCGCGCAAATAAAGACAAATTACTTACAGAAAGTAAGGGAAGGATGACAGATGTTTGCAAAAAAAACAAACATCTGCCGTCTTTGCTGTGATTCATTTTGTTTTTTCCTCTCCATGATTTTCCATCTCAACATTATACTTGTTCATGAGATTCTGCAGCTCAGACTTTCAGTAACAAACGTGTCCCCTTTGGTTTGAGCCATAGACTGTGTACAAGAAGTGGACGTAGTCATCGTGACGTCACTCATTGGTTTGTGGACTAATGTTTTGAAGCCTCGAGTTTGGCGATTTTGCATTCGTCATCTTGGATTATGGCTGTCGCCATGTTGTGTTTTTGGCAAGCAGTGAACGAAAGTTACCATCTTTGAAATGCAGAGTGACGTAGAGACGCCGTATACGTCTCGCAGTTAGCCCCGCCCTAAAGCATCCCCTGCTTTATGGTCTGTTTGACTCTAAATAGACCATAATTTACTAAATGATCATGCTGTATTGAAGAAGACTTGAAACTAGAGATTGAGACCATAAACTCATGTTTACAATGTTTACTGAGGTAATAAATCAAGAGAGAAGTAGAGTCATTTTCTCATAGACTTCTATACAACCAGAGGAGTCGCCCCCTGCTGGTCAGTAGAGAGAATGCAAGTTTCAGGAGACTTCCGCATTGGCCTCACTCGGCAGAACCGGAGGCCATCTTGTTTTTTATGCAACGGATGAACGGAAGTTACCATATTTAGACTGCGGAGGAGTGACGTAGTGGTGCCGTCTAAATGGACCATAATGTACTAAATGAACATCATGCTGTATTGAAGAATACTTGAAACTAGAGATTGAGACCATAAACTCATGTTTACAATGTTTACTGCTTCCATACGATCAGACTTATTTTTTTGCAACCGGAGGAGTCGGCTCCTGATGGTCAGTAGAGAAAATACAAGTTTTACGTATCGGCTTCACTCATCAGATATGTTTGTTATGTTTTTTTCTTGTTGTGTATCTGTATGTGTTGAACATTCAGAAATATGTATGAAGGTCTGATGTGTGTGAACATACAGAAAAGCTTTTAGACTCTTTGCAAGAAAAGTATTTGCAATCATAAATGTTGATTCATTCTCAGGTAAATTCATCTTTACACTTTAGGGCAGTACTTTGATTCGTAGCCAGCATCTCACCGAGTAATTCCCCTAAACACAAAGAGATTATTCTGAACATTAGTCTTCCATGTAATAAAAATGTAAACACGGGAAGAATAAGTCCAGCATTACACTTGATGAAGTAGTAAGCCTGTTGTTCAGTGAATATTTCCTAGGCTCCTCCCTTTCTTACATAATAAATACCTGCCGGGGGGGAACTCATTCTGAGTAAAAGCCGTAATGTTAAGAGTTTACGACCAACAGATGTGAGCCTTTCCCCTGACACAGAGATGCTCCACATTCTGTGCATTTTAATAACAAAACCTAAATGTCATGTGACTGTGCAAAAGTACATGATGATATGATGAAAGACCAAAGGCTGATTTGGTTTTTTTAAATAATCTGATTCGGTAAAAGGGAGATATTTCAGATAGCTGCTTCAAACATAGACAACAAAAGAACAATATCCATTCACTCAACACTCAACACTTACACAGCACAGTCCACTCATCCCAATTCATTAATTGCCTTCACTCGCTGTGGTTTCGGCACCACTGCAGCAGATGGACTTGTAATCTGGCCTGAGACTATTACACTGGAGACACAGATAATCTGATCCCATTTATTGTGGAGGAGCAGCCCACTACCAGAAGGGATTCACCACAACCCCCAGCGTTCAAACGGGCCTCGTTTGAATCCCTTTCTGCCGTGTCACTGCTATCTAATGCCACTGCCTTGTCACTGCTATCTAATGCCACTGCCCTGTTACTGCTATCTAAGGTCACTGCCCTGTTACTGCTATCTAATGCCACTGCCCTGTTACTGCTATCTAATGCCACTGTCCTGTTACTGCTATCTAATGTCACTGTCCTGTTACTGCTATCTAAGGTCACTGTCCTGTTACTATCTAATGTCACTGCCTACTTCTCTACAAAACCTGGATTCACTGTCTGTCTGATGGATCTAGATAAAGACCTGGGTTTAATATTATATATATATATATACATACATATACACAAATAAAAAATGACCAATAAAACATTACCGTAGTAGGTCGCAGTGATAAAATAAATTACTTCCAACTAACATACGTAATCATATTAAGAGTAAAAAAGCTTATCATCAATCCAGTTGCGCTACTTAGGAGCTTAAAGTTTAAAAAGTCAGTGCTCTGTTGGAGATTGTTAAAAGAAAGCTGCAGTAGCTAGCAATAGCTAGGTTTCTAGTTTGAGCATCACAATATACGATCATGTCATCGGCGTAGAGACGGACGCTACCAGTAACTGAGTGTGTTACAATGTAACTTTATGTGTAACGTAAACAGGACAGGACCCATATAGATCCATGAGGAACTCCCTTTCAGAAAATAGCCAAATTGTTGACTTGTCAAACAACTTATATTTACAGTATGGTGCAAATAAAAACAGTTGCTGTGACTGTGATCATCTTGAATCAAGCAATTGTTTGTTTTTTTCCTTTTAAAAGTGCTTTCCAGTTCATGTGGATTCAAAAATAACCCTTAAAGCTGAGCATTATTCATCGTATTACCACCTGGATACTCTTGATAGCTTGATACTTCTATTACCAATCATGTGGCCTGATGTAATTCAATATCACAGAGAGTTATTATGCCCAGGGATGGCAGATGGGATTGTAGTTCAAGCAATAACACGGCAAAAAGGGCGTTTAGGGTCCCCAGATGTTGACCTTTAAAGTGTTAGCCGTGGCGTTTAATCCTCTGCTTATACCTCCAGTATTTATCTGTGTATTCAAAAAAAAGGTGTCATAGTGGTGTGACACGGTTTATCCCCTTAATCTTCCAAGACAGCTGTCTGGATTTAGGTGGTGATGACTATAATCTCATTTGGCACCTTGAGGGCCAGCCAGGGTGATATATGAGGCAGAGTGAACTCCAACGAACGCCGGCGAGGTTTTTAAACCCCCGAACACAGGAGGACAGAGAAGAAGAAGAAGTCTGCAGGATGGGGAATACCAAGAGCAGCGCTTTGTCGAAGGAGCTCCTGGAGGAGCTGAAGTCCAACACGAAATACTCAGAGTCCGAGCTCTGCACCTGGTACCAGTCCTTCCTGAAGGAGTGTCCCAGCGGGAAGATCAGCAAGCAGCAGTTTGAGGGCATCTACGCCAGCTTCTTCCCGAACGCGGACCCCACAGATTACGCGCGGCACGTGTTCAGGAGTTTTGACACCAACGCGGACGGCACTTTGGACTTCAAGGAGTACATCGTCGCTCTGCACCTCACATCCGGGGGGAAGACTCTGCAGAAGCTGGAGTGGGCCTTTTCCCTGTACGACGTGGACGGGAACGGAACCATCAGCAAAAATGAAATACTGGAGATTGTTAGGGTACTTATACCTTTTTTTTTTTTCATCATGATGGCAGAGAAAACAGCAGTTGCTACTCACAAACTGAAGTATTTGATATATTTCCTCTATCCCTACAGTAAGTAAGTATACATCCCTATGAGTGTATATTTACAGTGTAAATATACACTCATACAAAGCAAAGAAAAGCAGCAAACTGTCATATTTCAGAAGCTCAAACCAGTAAATGGTTGATTGATTCATTTTCAGATTTTTTCAGGCACCAACTGAATCCATTGCATAATACGCAGATTATTTGAATTATTTTGTGTGTATTTAATGATGAAACTATGCATGCACTTTAAAAACATGTTTAAAAATTACTCTCACTCAGTCAATATTCAACATGATTCCTAATGACGACCAGAAGAACCTCCCCGAGGATGAAAACACGCCGGAGAAGAGGGCGGAGAAAGTCTGGGAATTCTTCGGGAAGAAGGAAAACGGTAACTCATAATTCAATAACTCCCTTTTAAACAGCTGCTTTAAAGCCTCAACCACGCGTTTGATGCCGTTCTACTTGTGCTGTTTATTTGTATTTGTATCCTTTCCTAGATAAAGTCTCAGAGGGAGAATTCATTCAGGGTGTGATGGACAACAATGACATCCTGCGGTTGATACAATATGATGAACCTCAGCAAATTAAAGACAAGCTGAAAGAGAAGAAGCAATAACATGTGGAAAAAGCCCCTTCTTGTGATTTTAAGACTTTTGTTTTTCTGTTTAAATTCTCAAGTTCTGGCTGTTTGTCCTCTTCAATTTTCGCTCTTTTTTTATTGTATTTTTTTGGTCTAACAACCAGGTAGACAGTACTGCATGTTTGTCTTCGTACCCAGAGAGTATTTTTGTTTGTGCCCTTTAGGATGTAGTATCTCAATGTTTTTTAGGTCAATGTTTGATTGCTTTAATCGGCATTAAAGGCATAAATAAACTGCAACGACTGCACTCCTGTTAGTTACGGCTATCTGCTAGCCTTCTAACTTCCTATAACATCTTAGTAACTGAGTGTATTATTCCAAATAAATTAGACAGTGGCTAAATCTTATAATGGAGAAAAAATTACAGATAAGCTGGTCCAGCTAAACGCTAACTAGCAGTGTAGCCGTAACTGCCATCTCAAGGGAAATTTGTGTGATTTCATGTGGCTAAGATACTTTAAAATAACATATTTTGTCTTTAATTAAACATGAATTCATAGCTCAAATGGACAAAAAAGCTGAGGAGGAAACAATCTAATATATCCTTGTGTTTGGCCCTTTGATTGGCTCAATAGAAGTATGTAAGGTCATTGACTAACCAGCACAAAGGTCATTAGCTAGTTGTGGCTAGCTTACCAACTAGCCTTAGTCAAAGCTAATTTACCCCTATTTCCTGGTTGAAAAACTATTTTGGCGCTATGTCATCTCAGTACTGTATTTGTTAAACCACATCAATCAGACAACAGCTAAATCTTTAAAAAATAGGGAAAAGATTATCACCAGATAAACTACTCGGGCTAAACGCTAACTAGCCTAGCTAGCAGGGTAGCAGTAACTGCAATATGTGCTGCCTCTAGAATTCATGTGGTTTCATTTTAATTTTAGCTACTTTCATTCACATTTTTGTGTTGAATTAAACATAAATGTTTTAACTTATTAGCTCAAATGGAGAGAAGAATCTGAAGAAGAAACAAAGAACATATTTTAAACATTGTGTTCTCCCTTCACCCTTTAGATTGGTTTTTTGTTTTTTTTATGTAAGGACAGTGCAAATATTTAATAAGCAGTATAAAAAAATTACACAATTTACAACTTATATCTGTTATACTCCTGTTTCTTACTGCTCTTTCCCTCTTGTCAGCCACCCTCCCCTTTATGTTTGCTCGCCAGCCTTTCCTTGACAGCCAATTTACTCTCTCATGTCTGGCAGCGTACCGGCAGTGTTTGGTCACACTTGGAATTGATTCATTAGGTTGAGAGCGAGAAAGTCTGGACGAGAGCTCCTTATGAGAGGAATTAGGCTCAGGTTAACAATCTGCCTGAATCAGCCGATCCTCTTAAGAGCTGAAGGTCAACTGAGACGAACACACTCCTTTACTTTAAGTGTGTGGTGAAGATAATGTGGGCTTGGCACACTGAAGAATAATTTAGTTATACATATTGTCAGGCAAGCTACAAGTATTCAAATTATAATGTATGTGTCACTGCAAAAGACTGTTTTAAATCATAGAATATGTAAAGACAACAGTGAAAACACTGGCCTTCTACCAAATGGAAGATAACTCCTGTTCTTACTTTGATATTGTAGCGTTTTGTAAAAGTAGTGTAATATATGAATAGAATACTAGATATATGTATAATAAACGTCTTAAAAGGGTACCTGTCTAGTATTCTCATGCTTTGTGTGTTTCCTTTGAGACCTATGAACATGTTGAATGTGTCCTCATTGAAACATTTAGAAAACTGACTGTTATCGGGATTAAATGTAAATTATTTGGGGCAGAAGAGATGGTATTGTAATATCTCTTTGCAATACAGTTAAATAGTTGAGTCAAAATAATTAAAATAAAGAAGAGCACAGAAGGTCAAGCTTCTTCATCAGACAGCTGAGAGGAAGATTGGCTTTGCATCCTCTTTGGCTTCGGGTCAATACACCCCAGACCAGTGACCACCTGTCCTACTGGTCCTTCCAATCTGTACTGGACTGGATCCAGTAGTGTTTGGAAACCCAAAGATCAAAGGTTTCAGCTGATTAAACTACAAACTGCTTCCTGCCTCCCAACACAGTTACATAACGACACACCGTGATGTTAAATCTTTTCAGAGAGGAGATTTATTTTGGACACTGCATTCCACAGCACACCGTCTGGACAGAGTTCACCTATGATCAAACATTCGTAAAACATCGGGAACATCGGATTTGAATGCACGTTATGGAAATGTTAATCACAGGAAGGGGCGGGGGGGGGGGGGGGGGGGG